ACACACACACACACACACACACACACACACACACACACACACACACACACATTCTCCTGTCTACATATTTCTACATTGGAAACCATCTTTGTATCCATCCTACCTATACTTAAATTCATACTTTGCTTCTTTATCTTCATTTATAGCCTGATAATATGAATATTATATTATTTTACAAAATCACTGAAATAGCTCTAGATGTATTATAATTTATAACAGCCCACACATATATAATAATTTAAAATTATATGAAATTTATTTCTATTATCTGTTTTGAATATTTTTTAACAAGAAACATGTGGAAGTCCATAAAGATTCTCAGTCATCCTGGTCATGGTTGTCCCAAAGGTGCTTTTTCAGGAGGCAACTGGACTTTCTTGTTTTTTTCTTTGAAGACTAGTGCATCCTTTTAAAGGGTCACAAAGAGGAACCTCCAAGTGCTTCAAGGACTTTCTAAGAGAATGCAAAATGACCAGCTGTCTGAAAGGAGTATAAATTCCTCACCATCCAGTTAGAGCTGAAGAAGCTTCTTGGATGAAAATCGAATCGTCTTCAGAAAAAAAAAGTCCAGTTGCCTCCTGAAAAAGCATCTTTAGGAGAAGAAATAGAAACAAAAAGGAGGGAGGGAGAGAAAGAGAAAGTTTTACTCAACATGAAAATCTAAGAAAACTGAATACTGAATGCGGTACACAGAGAAACACTCACAAACTTTTCCCTCAAGTGTTAGCCTTCATTAAATATAAACTTTCCTGCTATTCTTGAGATTAAATAGCCATGTATATATTCAAAGAACAAAAGACCCAAAAGGACCAACTAATAGGAGCAAAATAAAAGACTCTAGAGATAGATTAGTCTGTATGCTCTCTGCAAAGCACTCTAAAAAGCATGACATAAATTCCTAAGGGACATAATTTATACTAGTCAGTTTAGCTAAAAGCAATATTATGTACAGATCCATCCATGCATTTAATCACTTCTGGCAGTAAGCAGCTGTTCATTTAAATAATGAAAACATATATATTTTTCCTTCTTTCAACCTGAATAAAATCCATTTAGAGAAA